TAAATAAATTGATCATGTGGTAGGGGGATTACATAGAAAAGAATTCATGATTTAACCTTATATCATTTAGCATAGTAGAAGTGTAGAATGAGAACYTACACCAGACCAGTGTATTGTCTATGGGGTCCACTCAACACTGAAACAAGGACACTTCATCACCATCTAATCCTTATCCCAACTATATGGGGTCGGATGCATGAATGTTTTACCATTCTGTTCTGTTAAGTGTCATATCCATTGATGATATCATTTCTTAAGTGTCTTAACAAATTTAATAGGATTTACAACACATACTGATTTGCTTATATTAGGATTTGTTAAAATATGCTACTTTACATATTCTAAAAGTTTCAAATTCTATAGAGCTTATCTAGAAGTGTCCATGCAGTATATATTGTCATATTGAGTATGTATTGTGTCCCATACTGGCATGCTAGGAACATAGAGGAGCTTAGTTATGATAGGCTAGAATCCCTTTAAGGGCCCATTCATTTTCTGGTAAGTTGGGGTTGGGGGTTGGGGGAAGTTGGTCACCACATTCTTCTGTTGGGAAGTGTAGGGCTCACAGAAAGTGAACTTTCCCTCCAGTAAACTTTTTGGGATACTTTCATGGGTAACTTTTACATTCTCCTAGATGGGTAAATCCCTTACTCATGGAGGAGGAAAATTGCCCAAACTATGTGGAGTAAAATTCCTCTGCCAGCACACAAAAGTTAGGGGTCTTTTGGCAAAATTGTCTCACTTGTCCATCTAACATTTCCCTTCAAAAAAAAAACACAGGCAAATGTATTTACCCAGGTAACACTTCCCCTGGTAAAATACATTTACCTAGCAAACGAATGAGGCCTAAAGTCAAACAATCAAAATTAGACCTCTAACTATAGTTTGAAAAATTTTTTGATACACATGGGAATAAATAATCACCTTCCTTTAGGGGTAAATAAGCAATCCGGTAATAAGATGGGATGTAAATAAAGGGCAGTCCAGTCTCCAGTGCATGAGGCTCCTGCCAATGCAGGGTCTGCACACAACCTTACCCTTGCAGATACATAGAGATGCTGTTTCCAAGATTTGAACCCTGGTTACCCAGGTCTCAATGGAGCAACCCAACCATTGCGCCAAGGCCTACCCTCATCAGATGGATTTGTAAATGTTTCTCAATAAATTCAATTTTATGGTTAAATGATTTGTCTGTCAGTTTGGATCCATGATTTTGTAGGTCCTTATCAGATTCAAATTAGACCTAGTGGGTCAGAATCCACCATCAAAAGAGAACTTCAACCAGTATCTTTCTATGTTTATTACTCTCCCAGGCCCCTTCTCACCCACCAAATCATTAAAGATCTTGGCACTACAGTGATGGTAATGGATTAAATTTTCTATATCACAAGTAGAAGACATGATGCTATTCATCCATGATTTTCATATCTGTTGGTTTGAATAAGGAAGTAGAAACCTGGTAATAACAAGCTTCAAAATGTAAACTTGGATAATAGACTTGTGGAAGACACCCCCATAAGCGCCCAAATAAAGTGTCTCCCCCAATAAGATTAAGAGCTCCTGCAACAAGTTCATCCCCCTCTTCAGCAACAATAAGTAATACCTGATCTCCCATCTTTGATCCCATGTTGTGAAAGAAGTCTCTTGTTAGAAATGCTCTCCCCCACCTATATACATATCAACAGCCAAAACACATTAATACAAAAGAAGTATATTGAAAAAGCTTCACTCTCCAAATTTATAATGTTGGTCAAATTCTGCTTTTATGACAGGTTATATATAGTCAACATTGTTGTCATCCTGGAATTTCCAATGAGACATTTCGTTTTGGTGCTAAGCTGGAAAGAGTGCAACTAAGACATGGATATATGTAGGTAGTAGAATAGCATATTGTGAATATATTGATCCCTAGTCACAACTCACAACAACCCTGATACATTATCATTCTCATTAAGTTTATAGAATATTAATTCATGAGTTTTAAAAAAGAAAACCATGTACTAAGGTAAACTGATGCAGATGGATTTCAGCCAGTAGCAACATGAGCACTGCCTTTCTTGCCTCCCTTAAATTTTGCTGGTTTCAATTCAGGGTCTAATTTCCAACACCTATATTTTGTATGTTTAGGTCTTACAGTAATCACACAACCTCATCACTTTCAGTTATTGAAGCCCCCTTGAACTGCTACTAGACTTGGGCTTAGAAGACACTATCATGGATGGATGTTCAATAGGAAGAGACTGCACCATAGCTGCCCTTCTACTCTCTTCACCTTGAATGAAAGAGTAAGCAGCTGAAAGTGTGACAACATTGTTACTAAGAATATGTTGTATAAAATCATATTTGGGATTCAGCCCAGTAAAAACTTCAAAAACCCTGAGCTTCTCATGTGCTTCCTATACTGCTTTCCATTAAAGGAATCTCTCCACTCAAGTAACTCAAGATGATCAATTTCTTCCCATAGAAACTGAAGAGCAGAAAAGTGTAATGTCACTGGTTTCTCCCCCTGTCAAAGATTGCTGGCTTCTCTACAAAGCTGATATACTATAGCAGTATTGTGAACTTGGGAGTAAGTAGCAGAAACTTCCCATATGTCTTTTGCCATTAACAGGAACATGTGGTTCTTATAAATGTGTGGCTGCATAGAGCCTACCAGCCACATCATGATTGTAAGGTCCTCTTGTTTCTATCCAGGGAATATGGGACCTTCAGGAGAGGGATTCTTCCCACAACTGCCAATAAACATTTTCATGAAAATTTTTTTGGTTGAAAACATTTTTATGAATTGAGACCATTTTAAAAAAGTGCTTCCATAATGTTTTACAGAGGTAAGTTGAACACTAGGATTGTCACCGAGTCTGAACAAATTTCCAGACACCTCCTTAGAATTGTCACTACTTGTAGGCTCAACTCCACCAATTCAAGTAAAACCACTTTTGATGTGTTTAGAAATATCATACGGATCACCCAATACAAGAATCACTAGTTCAAAAAAATCTCAATAGAACAGAGGCTAATTTCGAAGGCAAGACTGGTTTTTTTTTCTGATTTTCTAAGAAAATCAGAAAAATGAAATCCACGGCAAACAGGTATGGAAACTTACCAAAATCTGTCTTAAATTATACTTAAACAAACCCTAGGACTTCCAAGATCTGGCAAAAATGCTGACCAAATAGTCTACTTACATCAACAGTCAACAATGATGATGTCAGCAGTTAGCCATGCTCCTGTAAGTCAAACTTCCCTCTAGAGTGTGCTTTGATACCAAGAAGATTTACAAAAGGAAAAGATAAAAGAAGAGGAGGAAAGAAGAGAAGAAGAAAGGAGAAAGGAGGAGAAGTGAGAAGAGGAAACGTTCAAGGAGAGATTTGGAGCCAAAAGAAAAGTTGGGGAATATCCCCCTTTTATTAGAACTTATATTGGAGTACTTAAATTACATTTAAGTCCCTTAATAACAAAAAGACGTATAAAAGGACAAAAATGCCCCTAAAAAACTAGATTACGAACACAACAGATGTCAAAAGAAAAGACAGTTCACATTAACAATTCAACTTATTACCAAGATTTGTTAAGCCAATTTCTCCCAAATCCAGCCATTGGAATGAGTTGAGATCTGGGTATGTTTAGAGTTCTTGGGTAGCATTCAGAAGCACGAAATGCACCTCCAATGCTGGAAGAAGCACTTTCTAATGATCAGGGTGTCAATTAGTAACACTTCTAATGTTACCACTGAAGGTCCATTTCTCCTCTGAAAGCTTTGACAGTCATCCTACTTTCAAACACACTTGGAGGTAGCAAACAACATTTCTGAGACAAAAATGCTCCTTAATAATATATTAAATCCCCATATTAACCGCTTTAAACATAAGTTGCAGGCTGGATAGGTTCTTATTGACTGAATTGGGAGGAATACTTCTGAATGCTCCTTCAGAAACTCCAACCCCGGTGTACCTTTGATCATTGGCTAGTAGCTCTGAAAACAGATTCAGTGTCAAGAGGTAATGATGCAGAAAAAGTATGAAACCAGTAGAAAACAACAATAACAGTGTTAAAATCTGAGGTGAAACAGTATAGTTGAAGCTGGAACGAAGAACACCCCAGTTTTAGTGGATGGTGTTAAGTCTTTAGGGTTTCAAAACAGTAAAAAGATCCTTTTACAAACATGATATGAGGCTTATAAAGATGCCTCCAAGAAAAATGACGCCCTAACACACAGTTTGACAGAAATACCCCCACTTAAGTGACTCACATGACATAACTTAAAAATACAAGACTAAAATACTAACAAGCAACTATAAAGTCCATATAAGTTACATAAATCAAGAAAATAAGAAAACAATGATGAATAGCTAACTTGGCCCCCCTAGGAACCCAACTACTAGAAGGGTTACATGTGGGCCCCACATGCTCCTGCATCAACCTTCCCGGGTTGGAAACTTAACTCTGGCGAGAAAACCTTCATGCACTCAGCATATGTGGCTGGATCCAACACTTCTACAACTCTTCTTCGACACAAGTGGTCTCCATAGCTAATTTTCCCAACCATTTCACTGAGAATCGTCGATAGGTGTTTCCCCTTCTAGATTGAACCTCTTTCACATCCAAAACATCTTGTATCACTTCTAGCAGTGTTAAGGATTTTGGGCAGATTTGTGCAGTTTTAGTAGTTGTTTTTGTTTATTATTTGTTAGATAGGAAGTGGGGACCACAACATACTTGTTGGGTCCCTTTTGACTGGTTCTTTTAAGTTATTTATGCAGTTTTATGTGTTAGCCACCCTATAGGGGCATATTAGTCATTGTAGCCTTTTTTAATTAAAAGTATAAATACTAGTGAGGAGGGCGGCAAGAATTGATTAGCTCTCTTTCATTCTCAATCTCTTCTCTTCTCTTTCTCTTCTTCCTCAAGAAACATCTCTTTTCTTTACAGATTCTTTGATTCAGCAGTTTTCTACTTGGTATCAGAGCAAGACTAGGGTTTCTTGGAAAATAAGAGCAAGACTAGGGTTCTTTTTCACTCGGAAAATCAGTGGGAACTAACAAGTCTTGGAGGAGTTCAGGTCTTCTCTCCTGGGCGGCAGCAACCTTTTTCCTCCTGTGTACTGATTTCTCCAGGGCGGCAACAGCTTGGCTCCTTATGGTTCAGTTTTGAACAGCTGCAGACTGAGGAATCTCAACAGTCTGGCTTCTTCCACGCTCAACAGCAGCAGTCTTGAACCTTTTTTATTTTCTTGTTTTCTCATGCTTCAGACTGAGGAACTTCAACAGACATAAAGTCTTCTCTTCAAGCAGCTCTGGAAAACTTCTCATTTCAGGTTGGTGTATCTCACTATTGTCTCAAATCAACTATTATCAGTCATTGGAATCCTAGTTTGTGCTGTCCTAACTCTTAAGTTCGTGCTGTTTTGGGTTGTTTATTGGAAGATTTCGATTCCTCTATAGAGTGACTTACCCTTGCTGAAGTTGCTCTGGTTTGGTGTTGTTTTGGGATCAGACTTCATTGCTATTTGATATTAATATTTTTTTTTTGAGAAATACTGTGTTCGGCTGAGGTGATTCATTTCCTAGTTTATTGCTGATTTAAGTGAACATTAGTGCTGCTATCCTTTTCCTGGGTTGATTTTGCATATTTAAGATGGCTGAAAAGATAGACTTTCTCCCTGTAAATTTTGACAGAACTAACTATAGTATGTGGAAGTTCCATTTCAATTTCTTTGTCGAGGGAAAGGGACTTGAAGGTTACTTGAATGGGACTGTATGTAAACTTGATGAGGCTGATAGTAAAGTCTATACACAATGAAGTTGGACAACGGAAAGTTAGTCTCCTGGATTTTGAGCTCCATTGTGCCTCACATTGGTGTTCCCATGAGAAGACCGAGGTCTGCCTATAAGATGTATTCGTATTTGAAAAAGGTTTATCAACAGTATAATATGTCATGGCAATACCAGATTGAATATGAAATCTTTGCTTATTGCTAGGGGGCAAAAAGATACAAGAATACTATGCAAGCTTTATTGATCTCTGGGCTGAATATGAACTAGTTCATACTGAACCTTTTGATCCCATTGAGTGTGTCAAGTATTTGCAGAAGCATTTTGAAAATAAAAAGGTGAACCAATTTCTTATGATGCCAAGACCTGAGTCTGAAATAATTAGGTCAAATATTTTGAGCAGAGGAACTCTTCTAGATTTAGACTCTGTGATGGGAGAGTTATTGAGGGAAGAAACTAGATTCCTAACTGCTACAAACACAGAAGGGAAACATTTTGATTCAGGGACTGATACTGTTTTTATTGCACGTAGGATTAAGAAATCTGGTGGAAAGGATCCTCCTAAAACCCAATGCCATGAAGGTAAGGGATATGGACATTGCAAACAACATGGACATATCATTCTAGACTGCCCTATTCATCCACCCAAGGGTCCCATGAAGAAGAATCAACCACGAACTTATCAGGTGTCTAAGGGACAAGTGCCTGATGCCTCTACTGCTAAAGAAGAATCCTCTGCTTCCATGAATAAGGAAGAGATACGACAACTGGTATCCTCTGCTATCTCATCTGCCTTTTCTGCTATTAGCCTATTTGATGAGTTCTCAACTTACTGCTCTTCTTCCTCTCAAGTTTGAATAATTGATTATGGTGCTACAAATCACATGACTGGGGCC